CTGCTCTTGCCTTCCCTCTCCCGCCCCCTCGCTTTCGGGAAGGTTCTAGTGAAATTGCCTGGGGTGGCTTCTCTCCTGGGAGTGCTGGGGACAAGCAGGTGGCCGGGGCCCCTCTGACAGGGACGGGGGCACCCCCAGCCTCGCAGCTTTATGGCACACATGCTTCTTTCTCTTTTGGTCTTTCCTTTTTATTATGTTTCTGGGCCACACTCTGCAGTGCTGGGGCTTCCCAGGGTCTCTGCTCGGGGTCATTTGGGGACATGATGCAATGCGAGAGGTCAGACCGACTCTGCCCTAGTATGTAGGACCTCTCCTGCTCCCCCAGGCCCTCGGGGGGGGGGGGCTGTTGCTCCTCCCCAGGATGCAGGAGCCCTAGACAGCCTGGAGGGTGCAGGGCCTGCACACGGCCACTTCTGACTGGATCCCCAGCACCCCATCCAGTGCTCCAAGCACCACCAGGTGACCCCTGAATGCAGAGCCAGGAGGAGTCCCTGAGCACCACAGAGTGTGGCATCAAAAAATAAAGAGGAGGAGGAGGAGAAGGAGGAGGAGGAGCTGCTCTGACGCGTTCTGCTCAGACAGGGCGTGCTTCCTGGTGAATGCCTGCTTCACCAGGTGCTATCAGATCCGACTGCCTGGGCTGAGAGTGGAGGGGCAGGACGAGTGTTGGGCGGTGGGCACTCGTGGGGTGTCTGAATGGACAGCTAGATAGGGACAGGCTGTGCAGGAGTCCAGATCAGGGGCCCAGGTGCATGGCCCACCTCGTGGAGGTTAGAGGCCCAGGTACACTAACCAGGTAGGGACCCAGGTACAAGGGCCAGGGTAGAGGTTAGGGACCCAAGTACAAAGTGGGGGGGGGGGGGGTGGAGGTTAGAGACCCAGGTACAAGGTGGGGGCAGGAGAAAGTTTTTCTTTCTCCTTCCTCTTTCTTTTTCTCCCCCGACCCCCATTTTTAAGCCGTATATTCTACATGTGTAGAGCTGAGTGCATTCAGAATGCATTTCCTGTTGTCCAGCACTCACTGGCAGGAGGGGGCTTCAGGCCACAGGACAATGTGTTTCAGGGAGTCGCCCTTGGTTCTGGGGTGACCAACGGTGTAGGGGGTTGAACTGGGGTCAGCTGCGGGTAAATCCGGCCCCGGAATCGCTGTCCTGTCCCTCTGGCTTCTCTTGTGTTTACTGGCTGGAATGTGCCAGGCCCTAAAGGACTTTACAAAGCTGACCAGAGGCTGAAGGGGAAAGGACAGGGCCCGGCACTGCCTCCTGTGCCCTCCCAGTGACCCTTCGTGCGGGAGGACCACGGTTCACCGAGAGGGTCCTGGGCCCCTGAGTGCGGCTGGGGCACCTCATCCCCTGCCCCCCAAAATCCTGGTCATGGGCTGAGCCCCTGTGCTGATCCCGAGCATCACATGGGGCCGCCGCGTTGCTGGAGTGACCCTGGGTGGCTGGGCACGCGAGCTGCGGCTGCAAGAGCCCTGGGCCATTGTCCTTCCTCAGGCACGAAACACTGGTCTCATTGGCCAGGTCTTATTGGCCGGCCGGTGCTTTCCTGCCTGTGCCCAGCTCTGGCAGCCCGGGTGTGGGTCAGCTGTGCTCACAGCAGTTTGTCCTGGTCCCAAGGTCCCTGGTGGGGGCTGAGTTGAGCCCTCCCAGCTTGGGGAGCACAGGGGATGGCCACACCCCACCCAGGATGCAGCAAGGGACAGCACCCAGATTGTGTGGTGCTTCGTCCCTGCTGATGGGTGAAAGGCAGATTTGGCAAAAATGCCAGAAGTTCTGCTGCTGTGTGCCCAGGTGTGTGGGGGCCCCGTGTCACGCTGTTGTTGGGGCATTTCTCAAGGACCGAGCCCTGTCACTAATGGCGCAGGTCAGCAGTCATGCCCTGCTGCCCACTTGGCCCGGCCTTGGCAAGGCCTAGTGCTGAGGCACGTCCGGTGCATGTGGGGGCTCAGCCATGATGTCTGGGCAACAGTCCCCTGGACCTTCCACGTCAGCCTCAGTGCTGACCTCTGACTTCCGGGTAGGGCCTGTCCCTGCCCCTCCACTCCCTGACCTCCTGTGGCCGAGAGACCAGGCTGGGCTTTTTTGTGTTAATGAAGCCCCATCCACGTGTGAGCTACGAGTGGGACTGCCAGAGTCACCGTGTCAAACGCGTGACTCTTGTTGAACTTGAATGGCTGTTGTACTCTGTGGTCTTTCCACAAGCAGTTCTGTAAGCTTCCTGCTCTGATTTCCTGCATGAAGAAGGAGGGCCTGGGTGCTGGGTGCTGGGTGCTGGGTTTGACAGCTTGGTGTTCCCAAAGCTCTTCCTGTGATGGGGCCACCAGACTTTGGCGTGTGTGTGTGTGTGTGTGTGTGTGTCTTCTGAGAGTGTTTGTATGTATGTAGGTGAGCTTGTGCTTGTCTGAGTATGTGTCTTTGTGTCAACATGAGTGCGTGTGTGAATGTGTGTGTGTGTGTGTGAGCATGGGTGAATGTGTATATGAGTGGGTGAATGCATATCTGAACGAGTGTGTGGGCATGTGTCTGTGTATGTAAGTGTGTCTTGTGTGAGTGTGTGAGCATGTGAGTGAGTATGTGTGAGGGTGTCTGAGGATGTCTGTGCGAGTGCGATCCTTTTATTAAACTTGCAAAATATGCAGATTTGTAATGCAAGAAGTAGGTTAGCTGTCGCTTATGGCAGGGGATCAGAGGAAAGTAGGGAATCACATCGGCTCCAGGGTTTATTTATGATTGAAAATTACGGCATCAGTGTGATGATGGTTGTAAAATCCCATGCATATATTAAAAAGCATTGAAGTTCACAGAACATGCCAGTCGATGTTAGAGAAAAACTAGTAGATTTCAGAATAAGTCCATTTCCTCCTAAATAATTTCACATCATTAATTATAGTTAATATTTATTTTCAAAATTTTCTTTTGTGGGCTGGAGTAGGGCACAGCGGGTAGGGCATTTGCCTTGCACGTGGCCAACCCAGGTTCGACTCCCAGCATCCCTTAGGGTCCCCTGAGCACTGCCAGGAGTAGTTCCTGAGTGCAGAATCAGAAATAACCCCTTAGCATCGCCGGGTGTGACCCAAAAAGAAAAAAAAATTTCTTTTGATAGAAAATCATATAAAATGAAATGAATGCTTAAATCTCAAATATAGGATGTGAGAAGTGCATACACGTGTAATTCACACCCTGTTCTATAGAATATTCGCATCACCCCAGGATGTCCTCGTCTCTTACCCACCCAGTCTGCTTGCCCTAATGCCCTACTAGAAGCACCTTTTTAAAAAAAAATAAGCGTGTTTATTGAGCCACCAAGATTTAAAGTTGTTCATAAGAGAGTTGTTTCAGGCTTACAGCCATTCCCACCCCAGCCCCCCGTGTCCCCTTCCCTCCGGCGGGTGTCCCCAGGTCCCTCCCAGCCCACCCCACCTGCCCTCCTGACAGTCTTCCAGCAAGTTTACTTCCTGTTACTTGCCCCAATAAAACATAAGGGAAGAGCAAATAGAATCATCAGAAAATCAACGAATAAAAGTCCGTTTGTGGTGATGGATTGCTGCACGCTTTTAACCGTCAGTCGAAGAGACCAGTGTACCACTAGTGGGTGCCGTACTCAGGCCACGTGACGGGAAGTTCCTCCTGTCCTTTCACGGAGCTCCTGTCATAATTCTTGCCAGACTGGCCTCAAGATCATGAACTCCTGGGCTGTTGCTGGTCCACGAAGTGCTGCATCGTTCTTCAGGCTGAATGACCGTCTTTCTGGACGAGCGTTCTTGCTGAGGGCCCGTTGCCCTGGCATCCTCCAGAGTCTGCTGGCTTGTGGAGTCTCACTCCGTAGATCTGCTGCCTTTTGGGCTTTCCTCTGTGTTGTTCCTTTTTTGATCTTGCTGCTTTCAGTATTCTGTCTCTATCTTTGGATTTGGTCATTTTGAGTACAGTGTGTCGTGGAGATTTCCTACTTGACTCTATTTCACTGGGACCCTCGGGGCCTCTTGGACCTCAGAGCCTGGAACCCTCAACTCTGGGGAGTTCTTGTTGATGATGGTTTTAGCTGTCGCTTCTTCAATTTGCCTTCGTGTCCTCCAAGGACGCGGGGATGCTTTTGTGTCCCTCTGAGCCCAGCCCGCGGTTCTCTGCTGTGCTCTTCAGGCTGTTTCCCACCTGCCACTGTCTCCCAGAACTCCCTGCTCTCATCGTGAGCTCGGGACCTTCCCCCGCTCCCTGCCGTCGGAGCTTCGCTTCAGGCCCTTGCCCCACCTCTCCTGCTCTTGCTCCGGTCACTGCTGACTGCGGCGCCCTCATTCTTTGAGCTCGCTCTCCGTCCCCCATGGTGTCTGAGGACGCTGGGCATGTGCAGAACGTGCTGTTGGCTCCTGTGTGGTTCCCACTTTCTAGAGTGTCCTCACCGGGCTGGTCTCTGTGGATGCGCCCCAGGGAAGGTGTGGAGGGGTCAGCTGAAGGCCACTCTGGGTTCTGTGCCAGCCCTCACTGGACGTCAGTGAGAATCCGTGAGACGCAGGGTCCTCCTGCCCTTAGCGCCACTCACAGCTGCGAAGTAACGGGGACGCGGGCACGTTGGTGGGGGCGAGTGGGCCTGTGCATCTGGACCCCAGAGTCTCCCTGGAAGACCCAAACTGCAGTGGCTGCCAGGGAGGCAGGCTGGGCACAGGAGGGCAGCTGGGGACATGGTGGCAGGATCGATGCCTGAAACTCGACTCTAATAATAACTGCAAATCCTGATACCTTCATCATGATAACATGTTGAATGTTTGGAAAAACAAAAAAAACGTGTCGGGCCCTGATGGAGGCAGAGGCGCGTGTGGGGACTTGCCAGGGTGTCTGGAACTGAGTTCAGTTCTGCAGCGGCAGCCAGAGGCTGAGGGGGCCCCGGGGCGGGCGGCTCTGAGGTTGTGGGGCTGTTCCTCGGGGATCCGAGTTGAAAAGCCCAGAAGCGTCACGTGACGCACTTCCTGCCCATGCCTGCTCATGTGTCCCCTGCTTGCTTTCCAGAGTGACCGGCTGCTCATCAAAGGCGGGCGGATTGTCAACGATGACCAGTCCTTCTATGCCGATGTCTACCTGGAGGACGGCCTCATCAAGTGCGTGCAGGAGGCCAGGCCCCACCCCTCGCCGCCCTGCCCCTGGACCCTCACCGCCCTGGCTGCTCACTGACTGGCCATTTACCGCCCAAGCTCTGGGTCCGCCAGGAGCCCACCTGCGGGTGTGGAGATCAGGGCTGGGGTGCGAAGGCTGGGAGGTTCCAGCCCGGCACCCCTGTTAGATCCCCGCCCCAGTACTGTCAGCAGGCTAAGGCCCCCCTTGCTCTCTGCACCCTCCTGCCTGCACTTTGCCCAGTTACTGTGGCTCTCATCTAGGGAGCAGAGGCCCGAGGGGGGGTTGGGGGATCCTGGGCATGTCTGAGTGTGTAAACACAAAAGGACGGCAGCAGTCTATCTCTCCCACTGCCCGCGTTCAGTAGTCTCTGGCCGTTTCCCCCACCCCGGGGAGGTTGAGGTTGATGGGCAGGTGAAGGAAGGAAACGAGGGCCAGGCTGGTTGGTCTTAGTTTCAGTTTATTCCAATCCTCTCTCCATTCACTCCTGTCTCTCCTCTGCCTCTCCCAGCCCATTCTTACAGTCTCATATCCTATAAAAGAAATTTATGTCATGGATGGCCCAGGTTCTCCCAGATCTGTGACCCCCGGGTTCTCCCAGCCTGTGTCCCCGCAGAGAGCCCCGAAAATCTCTTTATATAGATCATGGTACCTCTAAAGGGCGCAATGCAGTGATGTCATCAAAAGGAGTTACAGAAAGAACATTGAGGCAGCAAAACATACACTGTTTCTTTACATCTGGGAAAGAAGATACAAAACCAAAACTGAAACCTTTCTTGGGCTCCAAGCACTTGGATTTGCATCCCAAAGTCTAGTCTGGCTAGATCCTGGAATCTATATCCCAAAGATCAGGCCTGGCTAGCACTTGAGATCTGCACATCAAAGATCAGCCAGGTTTCGGGGCTGGAGCAGTAGCACAGCGGGTAGGGCGTTTGCCTTGCACGCGGTCGACCCGGGTTTGATTCCTAGCATCCCATATGGTCCCCTGAGCACCGCCAGGAGTGACTCCTAAGTGCACGAGCCAGGAGTAACCCCTGTGCATCGCCGGGTGTGACCCAAAAAGAAAAAAAAAAGATCAGCCAGGTTTCTGTGACAGAAAGGGATATGCTGAAATTATTTACTGAAAGCAGTTTGAAGGGGAGAAATGTTCAGCCTCATCCAAACTAGTCAGGACACACGGGAAAGCCGCTTCTAGGACAGATTCTCGTTCAGCAGATCAGCCCACCCTAGAACAGAATTCCCCGGGTGTGTTTCTCCTCTCCTTGTCCAACAAACATACAAGCATATATAATATAAATCATTTTGTATGGACACAGTAAGAAATAACTTAAGCTTATAGAATTGCTCTCCTAGGGCCATCTCGATCTCAGACTACAGTGCTCAGGCCAGATAATCTTTCCTATTCCTAGCAGGGTCCTAGTCTCGTCGTTACTTTTGGATCATGCCAGCATTTGTCTATGATCAAACTCCTAACTTATAGTTAAGAATTGTGGCACCTGGAATCGCCCATCTCGATGCCAGGGTAGTGCATAGCTTACCGCTTTCCCTGGTTCCATCCAGTCCCTCGTCGGGACCCTGTTTTTGGGGGCGCTAGGAAGTGAGGGTAACTGAGGCTTAAGTTGAGAAAGCAGATGCCCGGGAATGAATAATATTCAAAGCCAATTAAATCCTAAGTTACAAAGCATAATATTAACTGTCTTCCTGTATCTATACAAAAAGGACATTGCATTAAACTATTCAAAAGACATGAGGATTTGTAAGTCTACAACTGTACCTCATGGTGTTTCACTAATAAAAATTAAAAAATTAAAGACATGAGGAGAGGAGAAAGGCAATACTAACTTACAATACAGGTTCAGTGCCCTAGAAAGATCTGACGTTACAAATTAACAGATTCTGATGAGGGGAAAAGCTGATTAACTGGTTGGGGAGGAGAGCATAGAGAAGTGGTTACAGATAAACAAAGTAATGGGAGTGACTCGGGAGCACTGTGATGGGTGTGACTCAATGAACCTGAGCTCCTTGTGGCCAGGGAAAAAGGACAAGTCAATTGTTATCCTACATCTGAGTTTCCGCCACGTTGGTGGATGCCTCTTCCCTCTCATGGTGGCTGGGAGGAGGTCAGAGAAGCAGCTGCAGGTGGGAAGATGCACTAGTCACAGGCCATAGTGTCCCAGCACAGCCTGACATGGGCCTGAATGTCCCTGTGGCTTGCTGCCTTGCTCTGTGGTGCTGGTGGCTGTCCTGATGTCACATGGGTCCTCACTGTGCCCTGACTGTGCACTTGAGCTGGACTTGGTTCACAGAGGTGTGACGAGTTACTTACTCTGTGGGAAGGGCTTTGTGCCCCACCTATGCCTGAACACCCCCCCCCCCCCCGGGACTCCGCAGGCCTGTGCTCTCCGCGTGTGCTCTGTTTGGGGCTGACTTCACGCTCACTGTCCTGCGTCCTGGCTGTGGTTTGGATCGCCCTGGCAGTGCTCCGCAGACTGTGTCAGGGGCCATGCTGATCCACGCCTGGGCCTCCCGCACGCACGGCCGCACCCCTGCCCTCAGCCGTCTCCCTGCACCCCACCGGGGCTTCCTTGTGACCCAGAAGTATGACACCTGCTGCTCCAGGAGGCCACATGTCTGGGTTTCCGCCCTTCTTTTCTCTTTAATTTGAGCCTCGGGAGTGCTTGGGAGCGGGGTGGGGTTGGGGTCCCTCTGTGGCATTTGGCCTCACAGGGTGGGCCCAGCAGGGCCAGTGTTCAGCCATGGGGATTGAATGTGGGGCCTCGCGCACAAGGGGCCTGTTCCGCCGCTTGAGGTCTTTTTAATTTCATTTTATTTTGCTGGGGCCACACCCAGCGGCACCCAGCGATCACTCGCGACGGGCTTGGGGCCGTCCGGGGCCGAGTGGAACCTGGTCAGCAGTGTGCAGAGCAGCCCTTTCCCTTGGCCTGTCCTTCCGTCCCCTTGACTTTGGAATCGGTTTGCGAGCCTCGCTGGGCCTGGCCTCGGCAGCTGGAACCTGGCACCCCTGTTGGGCCTTGTCCTGTGGGTTTTGGGTTTTGGGATTTTGTACACCTTTTGAGGCAATGTGGCTCGCAGCGACATCCGTGTTATCATTTAAGTCGTGCGAATTCCCCCTCCCTGCCCCCTGCAGCGTGTTGGGGCCTCTGCCGCTTCCTCTCCCCGTCCCCTGTTGCTGCACCACTGTCCCCGCGCAGGTTTTTGGTGCCTGTCTTGCCCGCTGCCCGGTCTGGCTCTCCCTGGACCAGGCGCGCTCCCTCGGGGCTCCTTTCCCTCCTGACTTGGCTCAGCCTACTCTGCTCCCGTCCCACTGGGTCGCTGTGCACAGCAGGGGTTTCAGCTGCTCTCCGCTGCCGGGGTGCCCGCGTGTGCCTGGGCCACAGTCCGTTGTCCACTCACGTACCGGGGCCCGCGGCCCAGCATTTGTGGGGGTCCGTGTGCCTGGCGAGGACCCATGCCCATGTCTGACGCTTGTCTGCAGGCAAATCGGGGAGAACCTCATCGTCCCAGGCGGTGTAAAGACCATCGAGGCCAATGGGCGCATGGTCCTCCCCGGTGGCATCGATGTCAACACGTCCCTGCAGAAGCCCTGGCAGGGCCTGGTGGCGGCCGACGACTTCTTCCAGGGCACGCGGGCCGCCCTGGTGGGCGGCACCACCATGATCAGTGAGTGTTTCGCCTCCCTGGGGCTCCTGTGGAGGGTGGTGGGTCGGGGTGAGGCAGCAGTCGGGGTCATTCAGTGACCACAGCCGTGACCTGTAACCTGGTGCTGGCCACAGTGTCGCCAGGCCGCCCTTGGTGCTGCTGGTCTGGCCGAGGCCTGGCGCCTGGGTCTGGGTTTGTAGGCTGGGGCCTCGGCTCTGTGCGGTGGTGCCAGCGTGGGCGGGTCTCAGAGCATCTCCTGTCTGGAGGTGTCAGGTTGGAGAGCGCCTGGCTGACAGAGGAGTGATTTGCACAGAGAGGGACGTGGAGGCCCAGAGAGGTCAAGCATGCTGCCCCGGGACACACTGCTGGGACCGAGGTGCAAGTGCCCCGGCGCTGTCCCTCTGTACAGTGACCTTCCAGATCCCATTCGGGCCCCAAACCTCACCCAGAGGCTGGTTTTTCTTGGTCAGAGGCCTGGGGCTCGGCACCGGCATGGTCTGCTCTGCACCAGGCTGCAGAGAGGGCTCGGGCACCAGGGAGCCCCATTCTGGAACCTGCCCTTTCCTGGGATGCAGAGGATCCCAGACGCACCCTGCCCTCCCACAGGTCACGAGGTCCGACCCGTAGGCCCTGGAACCGTGGGGCTGGGCGGGTGCCTCTGCCTCAGGCTCTGTTGTTGTTTCAAGAGCTGCTTGCACAGACGTTTGCGAAGGTCTGCTCAGCCCCTCTGCCTTGCACGCTCAGGCGCCTGCCCAGCCAAAGGGGCTGCAGCTGGCCACATGGGGGCAACGTGTCAGAGCTGCTCAGCCCCACGCAGAAGGGAGGGCCTTGCCCCCTCCCTCGGCCGGGGAGCCGCTGCCCTGCTGTGGCTGTGCTGTGGTCTGCGGTGGCTGTGGTTTGTATGCTGTCTGGTTCCTGTGGTCTGTGGTTTGTGTGAAGTCTCTTTTCTGCGGTCTTTGTCTTGTGTGATGTCTGTATGGTTCCTGTGATACCCAGTTTGTGTGGCCTATGTGGTTTGTGTGATGTTTGTGTGTTTGTGTAATGCCTGTGGTTTGTGTCTGTGTAGTTTGTGTGGTGGTCTATGGTGTGTGTAGAGCCTGGTATCTGTGTGGTATGGTGCCTGTGGTATCTGTGGTGTCTGCGGCGTCTGTGGTATCTGTGGGGTGTGTGTTGTGTGTGCTCTGTGATATCTGTGGTTTCTGTGGCGTCTGTGGTTCCTGTGGTCTGTGGTTTGTGTGCTGTCTATGGTTCCTGTGCTTTGTGGTTTGTATGATGTCTGTTTTCTGCAGTCTGGCTTGTGTGATGTCTGTATGGTTCCTGTGATATCCAGTTTGTGTGGCCTATGTGGTTTGTGTGATGTGTGTGTGTTTGTGTAATGCCTGTGGTTTGTGTCTGTGTAGTTTGTGTGGTACCTGCATGATCAGTGGTTTGTGTGGTATTTATGTGGTATTTGCAGTGTCTGTGGTATCTGTGTGGTGTTGGTGTGGCCTATGTGGTCTGTGCTCTGTGGTGTCTATGGTGCCTGCAATGTCTGTGGTGTTTGTGGTTTGTGTGATGTCTGTGTACTGTGTGGTATCTGTGTGGTTTGTGTGGTCTGTTGTATCTGTGGTCTGTGGTGTGTGTAGAGCCTGGTGTCTGTGTGGTGTGGTGTCCATGTGATCTGTGGCGTCTGTGGTATCTGTGGTGTGTGTGGTGTGTGTGTGCTCTCTGGTATCCGTGGGGTTTGTGGTGTGTGTGTGCTCTGTGGTATCTGGAGTGTGTGGTGTGTGTGTACTCTGTGTGATCTGTGGTGTCTGCGGCGTCTGTGGTATCTGTGGGGTGTGTAGTGTATGTGTGCTCTGTGGTGTCTGTGGCATATGTGTGGTGTGTGTGTGCTCTGTGGTGTGTGTGGTTTGTTTGTGCTCTGGTATCTGTGGGGTGTGTGGTCTGTGGTGTCTGCAGTGTCTCCTGGCATCTGGTATGTAGCTGTGTCTGTCAGCCGCCTGCTGTGTGTGGAAGCTCTTTGGCTGGGGGCTCTGTACCTGTGAACTGGGCGCAGGGGAGGTGAGGTGGCAGTGAGGTCAGTGCCAGCTGTGAGCCCCCACACGCTCTCTGTCATATGTGGGACATGAGGGCATGTTTGGGTGGAGAGGCCCAGGCCCGATGTGGTGGGTAGAGAGTCCAGTTAGAGTTGGGACAACATGGGTCGCGCTGGTGGCCTTGGAGTGGACACTGCAGCTGGCAGGAGCTGGCCCCGTGGCCCCAGCGTGACTGTTCCAGTGCTTTGTGCATGGCCCTCGTGCTCCTTGAGGCTCCATTTCTTCAGTGAGACTAAAGTGGGGCCTTTGTGGCTTCCCAGGACGGAGTGAGGAGTCAGCGAGATAGCCTCGCGCAGTGAGTGCTCAGGATGCAGTTGTGATGGCGACAGTGGTGGCACTGCTGCTGGTGACAAGACTGAGGGCAGGTGTAACAGTGTCACTGCCGAGAAAGCCCATCTCCATGATGACGATGGTGCTGGTGACGAGTGATTCTGGCAGTGGGGATGGTGATGTGATGGTGATGCTGGTGAATATGGACTGGCACTGGTGATGTGATAGTGAGGATGGCAGTGATGCTGAGATGGTGGTGTTGGGGGTAGTGGTGATGCGAGAATGATGGTGATGATGGTGCTGGTGGGGTGCTGGTGATGTGACGAGAGTGAAGGTGGTGGGTGATGATGGTGGTGAGGATAATGGTGACACAGTTCCCAGCTTTAACTCACTAATGTGACCGCAGAGCCCCGAGCTGGGGGCATGATGTGTGCTCTCCTGTTCCAGTTGACCATGTTGTCCCGGAACCTGGGTCCAGCCTGCTGACCGCCTTTGAGAAGTGGCATGAAGCTGCTGACACCAAGTCCTGCTGCGACTACTCGCTGCATGTGGACATCACGAGCTGGTACGAAGGTGTCCGGGAGGAGCTGGAGGTGCTGGTGCAGGACAAAGGTCAGTGCGATCGGCTGGAAGGTTCTGGAATCCCCGGGGCTTTGCTGGATCAGTTTGAGATCAGTCCAAACGCTGCTCAGCGGCACACGGTCCCGCTGCTCCACCCGGTCCCTCAGCTGCCCGTGGTCCCTCAGCTGCCCACACGGTCCCTCAGCTGCCTGCAGTTCCTCAGCTGCCCAAGGTCCCCTCCCCACAGCTGCACTTGGTCTCTCAGCATCACTCAGTCAGGTGGAGTGAAGTGACATGAAGCCCCTGGGAAGCAGAGGGGATGCTGGGAGCAAGAGGGGGGCTTCTTCAGGGGGCAGCCCGGGCACTCTGGGGAGGCGCCTCGGGCAGGGTCACGGAGAGTGAGAGCAGCAGAGGAGAGGGCTGCACTTGTGAAATCAAGACGTGGTAGAAGTTCCACCATTGCAGCATAAAAGGGGAGTGGGGGGCTGGGGAGAGGAGGTGGAGGGGGGAGAGGGGAGGGGAGAGGGGGCGCAGGGGTGAGAGAAGAACCTCCTTGCTGTGGCCCCGTGTGGCCGCCCACGTCAGCCTCAGTGCTGACCTCCGTGCCGACTAGAGGGCGTTTTCTCCCGATACCGCTTTGCTATGGCTGCGTGTGGGCACCCTGAGTGGCTGGGTGTGTTTGGGGGTGTCACTGCTCAGTCGAGGGCATTCAGTGGCTTCGCCTCGGTTTCCTGTCTCCTTCCCTGGAGAGGTGTCAGGGTTTTTTCTTGCCCCCCAGTGGCGCAGGAAGGGGCCTGTGGGTTTCTAACCAGGCTCTGCTTGCCTCCATCTACTCACAGGCCCTGGGAGTGTGTGTGAGGGTTTTGACAGGTTTGTCTAGTTACCCGCCTGCATCTCCAGAAACAGAACCGCGTGGGGCCAGGGAGGCTGAGCCTGGTGGCAGTCATGCCCTCGGCGCCAGGTGGGTTCAAGCTGCCCCGCAGAGCCTGCCAGTCCCCTCAGGCCACTTCTCTGGAGTCCACCTGGCCCTGGGGGCAGGACCACGTCCAACTGTGTCCAGTATAGCCATAATTGCTGATTGTCGGGGTCTGCACGGGCTCTGCCTTTCCTGGTTGCTGGGGTTCTCTGTGACGCCCAGACACGTCTGATTCCCCCTAGTGTGTGCCCCCGGGGAGGGGTGCTCCCATGCTTGGCTTCAGTGCTCACTGGGCTCTGGGGCTCCTCTCTTTGTAGGGTTTATAGTGCTCTCTGGGCTTACATGTGCTCTCCGGGCTTAGACATATGCTCTCTGAGCTGTGGGGCTCACACACGTGCTCTCTGGACTTGCACACGTGCCCTCTGAGCTCACTCATGTGTTCTCTGGGCTTACACGCATGCCCTCTGGCTTACACAATGCTTTCCAGGACTTACACACGTGCCCTCCCGGGCTTGCATGTGTGCTCTGACTTACATGTTGCTCTCTGGCTTATACATGTGCCCTCGGCTGCCTGCCACCTTGCACAGCAGATACACCCGAGTGTGCCCTCTGGCTGTATGTGTAGGAGCTCACACTATGACGCTGGCGTTCTCACACCTCTCTGGCTGCAAGACTTCTCTGGCCCATTCCCTCAGGGTGCCCAGAGCCTGTCCCCATGGGGAGTGCACCCGCTTGGCTGTGGGGATGACGTGTGACTTAAGTTTGCGGGCCTGTGGTGTCCTGAGCCCTGGTGCCGACTTCTTCCTGGCCTGGGAGCGTGCAGGAAAGGGCTTGGGTGAGGGTTTTGGTGCCCAGCCAGCCCTGAGATGCTTTCCTGTGCCGGGCTTCGGGCGAGTGTGTGTGGCCGTCACTTGCTGCGTCTGATCAGAAGCCCAGCCCTGGCATCGTGGGTCAGCTGCGCGTTCTTCCTGTTGGGCACCAGTGAATATCATGGATGGCGGGGGGGGGGGGGGAGGGGGAGAGGGGGCTTTCCCCAGCAGCTCAGTGAATTTGAGCTGCCGGGCCCCCACCCTGTGCCTCGCTTTCCCCATGAAAGGTGGAATTAGCAGAGGTCATTGGCCCGGCCGCACCTGTCACTTCTGCTCTGGCCCCTGGTGTTCTCTCTCAGAACCCTCCGGATTGGTGCTCTCCGAGGCCGGCCTCAGGTCTCCCTGCTGCCCGTGAGATTTGAGAAACTGCTTCCTTGGTCAGTGGGTCCTGGAGGCAGATGGGCCCACGGGGCGTGTGGATTCCTGTCTTAGGGCAGGCGGAACAGACCCACCCACTCAGCCAAGCTTGAACCCTCTGCCCCGTGGCTGCCCTGGGGTGAGTTGGCTCTTGGTCTTAGAGGAGCAGCCATGGGAGCTGAGGGCCCCCACCCCCGCCGTCTCTGTCCCCTGCTTACGCGATTGTGTCTCTGATCTTGTTTCCACTCATGTGTGTGAACCCTCGGGGCTCCCTGGGGCCCAGGTTATCCTGGGAACCCCCACTCTTGGCGCCCTTGGTGGGGTCCCCGACATAGTGGTGCTTTGCCTGCGAGGTTCTGGGGAGGAGATTGGGGCCCCTTTGGGGTACTGCTCCCCGGGAGACTTGGCAGAGCCTGTACTGGTACTCCACGCTCAGAAACTTGGGGTCACCTTCTGGCTCTTCCCAGGAGGGGCGCAGGGTCAAGACTGTGCCCCAGGTCGCCGGGTGCTCCTGTGCCCCCTCGGGCGCCACTGCAGACATAGGGGCTCTGGGGGTACACAGCCTGCAGCACCCAGCGGATGGGTGGGGGAGAAGGCACCCGCCCTTCCAGAAGGGACTTGGGGGCACTTAGTAGCTGCCACTCCAGCTGGGCCCAGGGGACGGGAACCTGGAGTGCAAATGATGTGGAAGTGGAGGACGTGGTGGGCGTGGTGCTGACAGCTGTCCACCCTCCGCCCCTCGCTGCCTTGGCTCACCATCAGGACATGCACCGAAGCTGAGGGACTTGCTTCTTTCCGTGTTGCTTGGCCCTGTGCACAGGCATGCACACACGTGCACACATACACACGTGTGCACGCACACACACGTACACAGTTCACATGTCACCTTCCCAGGAGGCCTCTGTGATCACACCCCAGCAGACCACATGCCGCTCCTCTGTTCTTGGCCCCCTAGCTGTGAGCCAGCGCCCCCACACATGCTGTGATCTTCTTTGACACATCCATGCCACTGCCAGCGGTGGCCAGTGAGCACCGAGGGCAGCACCTCCTGAAAGGGTGCTCAAGGATGTGCCCTTCTCTGTCTCTCCGAACAGGCGTCAACTCCTTCCAAGTCTACATGGCCTACAAGGATCTGTACCAGATGTCTGATAGCCAGGTGGGGGCCACAGGCAGCAGAGGGCGTGCGGTCACCCCAGTTGAACACCCTTTGTCGCTCTTAGAGCCAGAACGTAGGTGGGGGAGGGTGTGTGTGTAACAGGAGCCGCCCCCAGGCTCTGGCATGGAGGGGCCTGTGTCACGTGGGTATAGTGGGGGGGGGGCTCAACCGGCCCCGCCCTGTCCGTCACTTGGGTGTGGTGGGTATGGACTCGTGGATCCCCTCCCTGAGTCTCTGGGAAGGCCAGAGTCCCTAGTGGTTGCCTTCCCTTCCTCGGGCACACGCACAGCAGCACCCATGGGCGAGCAGGGCCCTGGGGCGCTGTGACTGACAGCTCCTCTCCTCTCCCTGGGAACCAATCCCCTTAGCTCTACGAAGCCTTCACCTTCCTGAAGGGGTTGGGAGCTGTCATCTTGGTCCACGCAGAAAATGGGGATTTGATAGCTCAGGTGAGTCTCAGTCCTCTGCCGTGTCTGAGTCTGTCTGTCGCTGTGTTTGTGTCTCTCTGTACATGTGCCTCTGTCCTGGCTGGACTCTGACTCGGGATCTGTCCTGGCTGGACTCTCACTCAGGGTCTCTGCCCTGGCTGAAATCTGACTAGTGGTCCCAGCCCTGGCAGGAATCCTAATTCGGGGTCTTTGTCTTGTAGGAGCAGAAGCGGATCTTAGAGATGGGCATTACAGGGCCTGAGGGCCATGCTCTGAGCAGACCTGAGGAGGTAAAGGGGGTCTGCTCCATCTCCATCGTTGCAAGAGGTCACCACAGTTCCATCTGCTCCGTCTCCATCCCCGATCCCCCCACATATCCCAGCCCAGTGCAGCCTCACAGGGAGTTACTGAGAGGCCCTGCCCTCAGGAAGCCCAGGAACGTCTCCCTCAGGGAATATTATGGGACTGTCTAGGCCGAATCAGGAGTTTGTATTTCTAATGGGACAGTGGGACCCAGCACATAGCCTGCTGTGCTCTGGGGGTTGGGATAGTGGCCCTGGGAGTGTGTGTGAGAGAGAAAGGATGTAGGGGTATGAGTGTTGGCATGTATATGGCATGAGTGAGGCCTTGAATGTGCTTGGGAGAGTGTGAGGGTATGAGTGTGTGGGGTATGAATGTCTTTGTGAGGGTGATTATGTGTGAGTGAGTGTGTGAGTCTTTGTGAGGGTATGTGTGTGTGTGAGAGAGTATGGATGTGTGTGAGGATATGAGCATGTGTGTGTTTCTGGGAGTTTAAGGGTACGAGTGTGTGTAAGGTTATGAGTGTGTGTGTGAGGTATGAGTGTATGTGAGGGTGTGAGTATGTGTGAGAATATGAGTCTTTGTGAGGGTGTGTGTGTGAGAGTGTGAGGATCTGCGCCTGTGTGTGTGTGTCTGAGAGCTTAAGGGTATGAATGTGTGTGAGGGTGTGAGTATGTGTGAGGGTATGAGTGTGTGTGAGGTATGAGTGTATGTGAGGGTGTGAGTATGCAAGAGTACGAGTCTTTGTATGTGTGTGTGTGAGAGAGAGAGAGAGAATGTGTGTGAATGTGTGAGTGTGTTTCTGAGTTTAAGAGTACGAGCATGTGTGAGGGTATGAGTGTGTGTATGATGATATGAATGTGTGTGTGAGGATATGAAGGTGAGTTTGAGGGTATGAGTGTGTGTGAGGCTGTGAGTGTGTGTGTGTGAGAGAGGATATGTTTGTGAAGGTATGGGTGGTGTACGCATGTGTGTACATGGAGGGAGTATGATTGTGTGTGTGTGCATGAGTGTGTGTGAGGACATGTGTGATTGTGTAAGTGGCTGAGTGCATTGGCGCATGCGCGTGTGTAGTGTGGTAGGCGTGTAGTGGGGCGGGCAGTGATCTGCAGTCTGTGGCAGGAGGTTGATGCTGGACCCTAGATTCAGCCTCATGCCACAGGGGTCACCCCTCACCCACGTGTGGGTGTGCACGTCTGTCCCACCCCACGAAGCTCACGGGGGCTTCCAAAGCCCCCCACAGCTTGGCTGCTTTCCCCGAGTGGTGGGTCTCCTTGGATGGGGCGCCACATGACGCTCCTCCCCACCTGGGAGGAAAGGAGGGGCTGGACGCTGGGGCCGGGTGAGCAGCTGCCCCCGCCCGACCCTGCCCTGCTCTGTGCCCTCAGCTGGAGGCCGAGGCCGTGTTCCGGGCCATCACCATCGCTGGCCGGATCAATTGTCCCGTGTACATCACCAGGGTGATGAGCAAGAGCGCGGCTGACATCATCACCTTGGCCCGAAAGAAAGGTGGGGGTCGTGGGAAGGTGCTCGGGCAGGGTGGGGCATGGCTGTGCACGCCTGCTCCTAAGTGGCCGCTGACCGTCTGCAGGGCCCCTGGTGGTGGGCGAGCCCATTGCAGCCAGCCTGGGCACGGACGGGACCCACTACTGGAGCAAGAACTGGGCCAAGGCCGCGGCCTTCGTCACCTCGCCACCCCTGAGTCCGGACCCCACCACACCCGACTACCTGACGTCTCTGCTGGCCTGGTGAGCCTGTGGGCTGGGAGAAACTGAGGCAGGCTAGATGCATTGCTGGGGTGGCCTTGGGTAGGGCACTCTGGGCAGCTGCAGAGATGGGTGCAGGGTTCGTGAGCGAGTCCTGGCCTCTGTCCCCCATCCCCCGCCTTACCTCGACACCCTCAGCCCCTGCGGGCACGATTCCTGGTGTGGGGCTCTTGGGTGTCCTGGGAAGGATAGGAGTTCCCGGGGTCCCAGGGGCCTGTCCTATAATCTGGGCTGTGCATGCCTCCGTTTACTCACCGGCACAAGGAGCCGTTTCTGCAGCCCTGTAGGCGAAGCCTGTGTTGGAGGTTGCCCTGTGGCTCACACACATGGTCAGAGTTCGGCTTTGCCAGCCGAGGGAGGGAACACCGAGGCCTCGGGAGGGTGGAGAGATGCATGCCTCTTGCTGGGAGACACACAGAGGGCTTCCAGGAGGAGGTGACACCAAGGCCTAGGAATGCAGGTCACTGCAGGGGTGAGGGGAAGATGGGCTTCCTCCTGAAGCCGATGCAAAAGATGCAGAAGGCCAGAGGATCCCTCTGGCAGTAGGCAGTGAGGTCTGGCCAGGCCCTGGCTGTCTGCAGTGGGGCCTCAGCCCTGGTGGACTCGGCTCACACTCCCTGTTCTTGTTCAGTGGAGACCTGCAGGTCACGGGCAGCGGCCACTGTCCTTACAGCACCTCCCAGAAGGCTGTGGGCAAAGACAACTTCACCCTCATCCCCGAGGGCGTCAACGGCATAGAGGAGCGGATGACGGTCGTGTGGGACAGGGCGGTGGTGAGCAGCCTCAGCGTGTCACGCGCTGCCTGTTCTCGGTCTTCGCCTGGGAGGGCACAGGGCCCCGGGGGCACTGGCAGCTTGGGTCCCCTCCCACCACAGCCGTGTTCCATTCTGCCTGTGCTCACCGAGGGGCGCTGGGAGCCACATCGGAGTTCACGTCAGGGTGGCTTCAGAGACCGTGTGCCCGTGTGGACACACGTGTGCTTGTATGAGTCTCGTGTACTGGTGTATGTGTACATGTACAGGTGTGTAAGGAGATATGTGTCTGCATACATGTGTGCATGTGCATGTGTGTGCATGTATGTGCGGAGGGCGCAGTGGACTTGGAGGCAGGGGAAGCCCGGGACACTGTCGGGGCTAGGCTTTTCCTGCATGTGTGCGCCTCGTGGGCTGCAGTGACTCTCGAATAGAGGCCAGCATTCGTGCAAGCGGTTGGTGCTGTGCCCACTGTAATTGGCCAGGCGAGCCGTGTCCACCAGGAGGCAGGAGCGGATCAGGGCAGGCTGACCGCTCTTCTTCCGGGTCACAGCGCCTCTCCCCTCGCTGCCCACAGGCCACTGGAAGGATGGACGAGAACCAGTTTGTGGCTGTGACCAGCAGCAACGCGGCCAAGATCTTTAACTTGTACCCCAGAAAGGGGCGGATTGCTGTGGGCTCGGACGCAGACGTGGTCATCTGGGATCCTGACAAGGTGAAGACTATCACGGCCAAGAGCCACAAGTCGGTGAGTCCCACTCAGGCACGGCGAGGACTGTGGCAGCTCTGGAAGCCTGGGGGTAAGGGGCCTGTGGGTTTCTAACCTGGGTGTGAGCTAAGCGCCCCAAGATTCAGGGTTCCCTTCCAGCTGCAGAGATGGGGCGGTGCCTCTCCATCATGCTCAACCCTCCCTCCCCTGCCCTCTCTCCCTCTCCTCTCTCTTACACACACACACGCACGCACGCACGCACACAGTCTCAGCTCTGTCAGGGCCCGGTGTCCTGTGTTCTGTGGGTCCTGCCTAGAGCAGAGGCAGCAGGGCTGGGTGTGGTCCCCTCTGAAGCCACCTGGCAGCTGCTGTGAGGAGCAGGCTCATTTAGACCAGCGGCCTGAGAGGGGGCCAGAGCCCCCGAGCCGCTGCCTCTCAGGCAGACCTTGGATTCGCAAAGGATGGGCAGAGAAAATGCCAGTAGGGTGAGAGACTGTGGGTGCAGTGTCTCTGTGCATCCTGGAGCCCTCCTGTGGTGCCTGGCCTCCTTCAGGGCCTGTGACTGGGTTGTGGTGGCATGTCCCCTCCTGTCCACTACAACCTGCGATGTAGAGCCGGGGTTGTGCGGGTCCGGTGGCCTTGATACCCTGCTCACCTCACTGCTCCTGCTGCTGCCTGGCCAGCTGCCCACAGACACTGGGGGTCAGGCTCAGGCCCCAGCCCAGGGCTTCCTGCCCGGTGGGCGCTGCAGACCTCCACCCACAGCCCTGGCAGGCCACTCACCTCGAGACAGGCATCCGCATCCTCTGCTCTGCCCAGGGGCCAGGGGCCCCATGGAGAAGCCCTTCAGCTTACCCCTGACCCCACCGCCCCGTCATGTGTCCAGTGATGCTGCTTCCGGCTCACCTGGTCCCAGATAGTTACCCGAGGGCCATTTGCCAGGCACCGAGCAGCCTTTTCATCTAGCTTCAGAGGGCCCCATCGGTGTCCCTAATGCCCCACTTACTCTCTTCTGACCCCCCACAAATGCCCCCTTCCAGGGGAGGGGTGGTTGGACAAATGAGGGAACTGTGGCAGAGTATTACACTGCCTTGAACAGGCTGCTTCCAGGGGGACTGGAAGTTGTGGCCTTAGGAAGGGGCCCATGGGGAAGGGTCCTGGGGGAGGGGCCTTTGGGACGAGGGGTTTCCTGAGGAGAGGTCCCGGGCGAGGGGCCTGGAAGGGGTCCAAGGGGAGGGTTCCCTTGGGCGGGGCCTGGCGGACTCCGTGGGGAGTGCTTGCCGGGTAGGGCTGCAGCCCCTCCTGCCGTTTCCCACAGGCAGTGGAGTACAACATCTTCGAGGGCATGGAGTGCCACGGGGCCCCGCTGCTGGTCATCAGCCAGGGCAAGATTGTCTTTGAGGACGGCACCATCAACGTGAGCAAGGGCACCGGCCGCTTCATCCCGCGGAAGCCCTTCCCCGAACACCTTTACCAGCGTGTGCGCATCCGCAGCAAGGTGGGCCGTGGCCGGGGCAGAGGGGGATCTGGGGCAGGACTGGGAGGGGCCCCGGGAGTGGGGGAGGGGACAAGGGGAGGCTTGCGCGTTTGAACTCCGTGTGTGTCAGTTTGTGCGCATTTGTAGAACCTGTCAGTTGTGTGTGCCTGTTGGGGGACATGCACATGACGCCCGCTGCGCGTGCGTCTGCATTGGGTTTCACGTGTGATGCCGTGTGTGCCACCAGTGTTCCTGCTCTATGCATGCACGTTTGTCTGTGAGTGGGAGACCTTGGGTCCCTGCCCCCAGGGGCCGACGCGGGGGCTGGTGCCTCCAGCCAACCCCCTGCCCTCCTGCTCAGGTGTACGGGCTGCAGGGCGTGCCCAGGGGCATGTATGATGGTCCCGTGTATGAGGTGCCAGCCACCCCCAAGTACGCGACGCCCGCCCCGTCAGCCAAGTCCTCGCCTTCCAAACACCAGCCTCCACCCATCAGGAACCTCCACCAGTCCAACTTCAGCCTATCAGGTGAGCCCCCGCTCTCCTCCCCAGCCGTGGGGTGCCGGTGCTCCCTCACCCTCGGTACATCAGCTCATCCCGCTCCACTGCTGTGTCTGGGCACGGAGGCTGTTGTTCCTGCTTGATGTGGTAATTTAGGCCCCAGCTGTTCTCTGCCACTTGCCAGGACTGGGCGCTGGACCCACAGGAGACCCGCATGAGCACGAAATCAGTCACAGGAGCGCCTTCCCCTTCCTGCAGTTCCAGGGATCGCCACACGAGGGCGGGGCCCGCAGGCGGAGTTACAGGGCTGGGTGGCCGTCTGTCCAGAGGCAAAACCCAGGCGGCCCAACAATGTGTCCTAAAATGTGGCCATTTCTTCAGATGGACATTAAGAATCTAAGCCCAGATGAGGGGGAGTGTAGTCTCAGCCTGAGCCACAGTGAAGGACGTGAGGACAAAAGGGTGGGGGGGGACAGGTCCAGACATCAGGCCTGAGCAGTCTCCATTGCATCCCATGCCTTGTTCATGGGATCTGGACAGTCAGTGCTGAAAGGTGCTCAGTGACACACACACACACACACACGTACACACACGTGCACGCGCGCACACACACCCATGCTGGGAGAGCGCCTTCCTCGCAGCCCCTGGCCTCATCCTGGGCTGGGCACTCATGCCTGAAACTGAAAGTCCTGCTCCTTGTGGGCACAGGAGAGGTGCCTCCCTCAGGGCACTCAGCTGTCTGTGCCCTGAGCCCTCCAGGCTTTCCCACTCTGGCAAGGACCCTGTAGTGCTCCCCACAGACTCTGGGGTGGAGGGCACACTGCCAGGAGGCCACACCACTGACTCCAGCACCCCTCGAGGGCGTAGTCCCCACCTGCTCTTGGCCTCTCATGGAGACAAGCCAAGTTGACGTGTACCTGGTGCTCGTTCTTGGCGGCCCGTGGACAGACTGGGCGTGGGGCTTCCTGTCGTGCTCAGACCCCCAAATTCAAGGCATACTGGGCTGAAATCTTCAGTCTTCGGAGGGCCCCCTGACTCTCCACATGTGCCTTCATGGTCTCCACTTTGTGCTTTTATTCATCAGTCAATCACCATACCAGGGACTTGGTGCTGAGCTGTTTTGGGGTGGGGGGCGGTTTGTGCCCCACCTGCGGGGCTACAAGTCCTTTGAGGTGGGTTGAGGGGGCTGGGGATGTCCCACAGGCATGGGGTTGCAGTGATGGACTGTGTCTCTTGCAGGTGCCCAGACAGATGACAACAACCCCCGGCGCACCGGCCACCGCATCGTGGCGCCCCCGGGGGGCCGCTCCAACATCACCAGCCTCGGCTGAAGGGGCTGGGCAGCGGCAGGTGCTCAAGCAAAGGATTCAGGGCGTGACAGCATTGCGCCCCCTGCTGGTGTTGTGGACCCCCGTCTCGCTTGGGACTGGGGGGAAGAAAATTGAAGGGTGTTCGTTCCTTGTTGGTTAGGAAGAAGTGGTACTAGTGTGGTGTTTGCCTGGAATCCCCCACCCCTCCCCCACACCGAGCCCGCCCAGAGCATGGTGGGGCCACCTGTCTCCTTAGTGCCCACCCCCAGCCCTCGCATTGTCACTTCCGGTCCCTCCCACCCCAGCCCGCCGCCCGGCTGCCGGGAGAGGCCCCTCTGCACCCGTAGCTGTCGTAGGGTAGTTGATGCATGTTCTGAAGTTCCGTATGCAAGTGTGAGCGTGCCTGGCGGACGGCCTCTCCACGGCCGACGGGGACACTGTCTGACCTCAAGCCCGCAGGGGCGGTCCCAGAGCTCTCAACACAAGATGTTTACTCATTCCCCCCCCTGCCCCAGTCTACACTGGAGAAAAGCCTCCCACTGAGGTCTGAGATCTCCAAGAGGGCCAGCCAGCCACCGCGCCCTCCGTCCCAGACCTGTGTCCTGCGGCCCGTGTGTCCTTGCAGCCAGCTCTGGACCTCAGGCCTGAGCCGGGCCGTGCTCATGGCTCTCGTCATCCCCGCGCAGGGCTGGTGGCGCGGGAGGGGGCGCAGCCGTGCCCCGCTCCTGGGCAGCTGGTCCTGGCGCTCCAGGCGGTTGACGGGACAGTTCGATTTTTAAAGTTTTCTACAGTTTTCCTTTATAATCACCCCCATTTTTACTTAACAACTGATTTGTTGTGGTCCTTATTTCTGAACTCAAAGCTTGTGAAAAAATAAACAGCCCGCTGGCCTGCCCGGGAGTGATCATTTAAGGGGTGGCCGCTCAGGGGTCCAGGGGCTCCCCCTGATGCCATGCCGCACCCCATCCTGAAGGGCAGCGGGGTGAGTCAGGGCTCCGGGGGCCTTCCCTGCAGCCAGGCCCAGGTCTCTACCCCACCCGACCTTCCCACGTTTGGAGGCAGGTTATGGGGCGGGGGAGTGTCTTACAGAAGAAGTGGGGGGTGGGTGCTGGGGAAAAGAGGACCGGGAAGGAAGTGCTCCAAGGGTGCAAAGTCCCGTCTCTGCGTTGAGAGGCACGAGGCCTACGAAGGCCCCTAGAGCCACGCAGGACGGGGCGGGGCTACGAAGAGGGGTGAGGCTGGGGCCTCCCGCTAGGTGTCCGCTCTGGGCCTCGTGGTCCTGCTGTCTTCTGCCTCCGCTCCTCCTCTGTCCTGCGGGCTCAGCCTGGCGCTGCTGCCACAGAGAAGGCTCCATCCAGACCTGGCCAGGACCTGGCGGGCCTGAGGGGGCAGAAACCACCGTCCCCAGGCAGTGATGGGGATGCGCCCCTTGCGCCCAGCAAGGTGGGAGACGGACCCCCTGCACTCCCACCCCGCGAGGCTGGAGAGCAGGCCCATGGCACGTCATCCAGGACCTACCCTGCAGCAGGGTCCTCCTCCTCGCGTGCCCCGGGGTCGCATCTGTCCCTGGGAGGGGGCTTCTTCTTCCTGGTCCTCGGGGGTTTCTCTGCACACAACATGTGACCCAGCTGGGCCTCAGGGCACCCACAGCCCTTCAGTATGATGGGGCGCTTGTGCTTGCTGTCCCCCCACATTCCCGCCTCAAGGGGTGTGGGCAGGACTGCGGCACCCCAAACCCGCAGCGACGGCGGCAGAGCTGGGGGCGAACTGGAGGTGTGAACCTTGTCCCGCCCCACAGTCCCTTGCACGATTCGGGGGGAGTGAGAAGACCCAGCCCTGGTCTATGCCCCTATATGGCCGGCTCCACGTTCCACCAGCCACGTGCACAGCCGTCACCTAAGGGGGAGGCGTGCTGAGGGACAGGCAGTTTCCACGTAGACCCCTTTTCCAGATGGGGAAATGGGGGAGGGGGCAGATGGCCTACTGCAGCGTCCCCAGGAAGCAGACAGATGGCTACAGCACTGGGAGTTGGGGGGGGGGTATAAAGCTTGTCTGCACACACCCACAAGAGCCAGAGAGGCTGAGCTTGCTAAGGACACACACTGCCCAGAGGTGACCCTGCAGCCAGCACTGACCTGGAAGTCCACGCTTCTGGGGCAATGTTCTGCTATCACCTAGGGGCACCCGGGCCAATGCAGCCAGCTCGGAGATGAAGACCTGCTCGGCTTCCTGCGTACAGAGAGGACTCCGTCGGGTGCCGCCCCCACAGGGCTCTGCTCCTGAGGAACTGGCCCCAGCAGCGTGGTGCCCTCTGCTCTGGCACAGGGCTTCACACTCACACTGGTAAGCCACGCGGTGACAAAGCACCACTTCTGGGACAACATTATTCCCTAATGAAGCACCTGCTGGGCCCCAGGACCTGATGCAGTGGCCGCAGGCACAGGGATCCATGTGCAGATATGCAGGTGTGTGCGTGGGGGGTACATAGGAGCTGGGAGGGGCTCGGTGCTCAGGGCCCTCCGAGCATGGTGCAGTGGGTGCCCACCCTCTGAGCCCACGCTGACCTGCGGTGCCCTGGCCTGTACCTGGAGCTGCGTGTCCAGCTGGGCCTGCAGGCTCTCCATGGCCCTGGCCGCCTGATCCCGGGCGCGCAGGCGGACCCGCTGGTGTGCAGTGAACTGCATCAGGAACTTCTTATGTTGCGCCCACATCCTGGAGAAGGGCACAGCCCGGCTGAGCCCTGACCCCCCGACGGCCACTGTGGGCACAGGGCTGCCTGACTCTACCCAAGGGCTCCTCGTCGCCTTCCATGTGGAAGCAGTTGGGGACACAAGCGGAGTGTGGAAGACTAAGGGGTGAGCGGCTGCTGCGCAGCAGGGGCTTTCTGTGGGGCACGGTCTTCAGGGGCGAGGCTCCTGGGCGCATCCCTCCGTCCTGTTTCACTTACTTTGGGTTTGGGCCACCCCCGGCTGTGCTTTCCCAGTGGCTCCTCAGGACGGGTTTGCTCAAAGGAGCGGAGCTAACCCAGAAGGTGGAACCAGCTGTTGGCAGGTTCACTGAAGCTACCGAGGCCTGAGGCCCATCACACTCTGCTCTTCTTGCTCCCTGCAAACTTCTATTCATCCTACAAGACCCCAGCATTCGTCAACATCACTTCCTATCTGCCATCCACTCATCCGTCCACCCTCCACACCTATACATCCACTTGCCCATCCACCCATCCACCTGTTAACCCACCTACCGACCCATCCAGTCACCCACCCATGGACACATTCACCCACCCACCCATCTACCACTATCCACCCACCAATCCACCTACCCACCCCCCATCAATCCATTTACCCAGCCATCTAATCATTCACCCACTTGCCCACCCATCTGTCCATCCACCCACACAGCTGGCCAGCCACCTACCCACCCACCAACCCATCCACCCATCCATACCCCCTGCATTCCCCATCCAATCACCTGCTGCCTATATGACCAACTACCCACCCACCTTGCACACGGCTCATATCTCCACCCACAAGCATCCACCCCACCCACCGTCTCATTCATTCATCCACTCCCCCAGGCACCACCCGCGCATACCGCCACCCCCTACCGCCCTACCACCCCGCCCCCATCAGCAGTCCAGTTCTGTCTGGGCCATGATGAGACAGCAGAGAGGAGGGGACTTGGCTCTGCCCTCCCGAGGCCCACCCTGGACTAGGGGCACAGAAACTGAACAAACAGGTGGGTGTGAGGGTAGTGCCGAGGGTAGTGCCCTTGCCCACCGCCCCCACGTTCACCCCCTGGAGCTGAAACCGGAACTGAAAGTGGCAGGAAGCATGAGCTGGGGGACAGGACAGGAGCCGCTCTGCACGCACACACACGGACACATGCAGGCACACAGACACACTGCCAACACCCAAACAGTGCTGATCTCTTGGTTTCTGGACAGAAGGTCTCTCTCTCTCTCTCTCTCTCTCTCACACACACACACACACACACACACACACACGTACGTCCCGCCCCACCCAAAGGGGTGCCTCACCTCTGGTGCAGGGCGGAGCTGGGCGCCTGGACACCTCCTGCCGCCTCAGGCCCCGGGTGGGCAACGTCGAGATCCTGCTGCTTGTGCAGCCTGTAGCTCTCCACTCTCTCCCCTAGAGGGCACAGGGTTGAGGGCAGTGCAGAGGAGAGGAGTGGGCGCTGTGCGCAGGGCGAGGACGCCCACTGGCCACCCGCCTGCCCTCCTCTCTGAGGCCACCTCCTGGCTTTGCACTCAGGATCACCCCAGCGGGGTCTCAGGGACCCTGTGGGGTGCAAGTCTCCCCCAGAAGGGAAAGCCCTGCCTGGGGCCATCTGCTGCCCACTGGCCACAAGGGAGCTGGAGGCTAAGGCCTTCCAGGACCCGCAGTGTACCCCAGGGCAGCACCCAGCCCCGACATCTCATCCCGCCGGAGCCCAAAAGGGCACTGCGGGGTGACCCCAGAGCAGCCGGGTGTCACGCGGGGCCAGACAAAGCTGTGAAGGGCAGACGTCCACCCCACGGTCACGCACCTCGCAGGCCCTGCAGCCGCAGCAGGGCTCGGCCCTGGTGCTCCTGCATCACCGTCCCCAGCTGCTGCTCGTAGGTGCGCACCAGCCGCTCCACGCCCGCGCTGGTCACGTACACGCTCTCCACGGCCGCCTCCACCAGGGCCATCTGCGGGGACGGGCAGAGGTGAGCGGGTGGCCCTTCCACACTGTCCGCCCATGCCCGCCACCAGCCTGGCTAGGTGAGGCCGCAGGAGGCCGAGGGCTTGGTCCACACCAGGCCTCTCTCTCGGGTCTCAGGCTTGCTGTGTAACCGCCTCCCCTCCCACCCAGCCACGGCCAGGAGGTGCCAGTGGGCCAGAAGGGCCCTTCCTCTCGGAGCACCAAGGCAGAGCTTTGGGGCAGAGTCCCACTTCCCGCCTGGAGTGGCAGTGGTCATTCTGGAGCCCGGAGGAACGGGGGTGGGGGGTGGGGGTGTGGGGCGAGAGCTGGGCTCCTCCCGGTATCTGCTCTGTGGGGCAGGTGAGCCAGGGAGCAGGGTCCGGCGTCTGGGCTCTGTACCTTGCCGTCATCCCTGTCCTTGGCCCGGCTCCTGGTGGCCGCGTGGCGTGCCTGCCCCAGCAGTGCCTGCGCGATGGCCCGCTCCGTGTGCTGCTGCAGCAGCTGCCCCAGCTCCTGCGCCTCGGCCAGCAGCTGC